TTGCTAAACACCCGCTTGCCCCAAATCTTTAACTTTGGATCCTTGGCCTCCAGCGGTGAGTCGATCTCGAGGTCTACTCGCCCGCGCAAACGTCGCAAAGCCCGCTCGCGACGTACCATTGCATTCGTGATCTTCGGACTGTAGCCTATGGGAAGCATACAGTGTTTGCACATCGGGCACAAGGAGCTGTTTTCTGTGAGAAATTCATCAATACACATCGGGTGAAAGATATGGCCGCAAGGCAATTCTCGAATAATAGATATTCGGTGCTCAAATCGGACAAGACATATGTGACAGTTGGGTTGATAATTCGTCGCCGTCATGTCGACTGAGCCCGCGAGGCTGGATCTTTTACTTCTGATACTCCCAGGAGGGCGTACATCAGAGACCACGCTTTTAGCATCATGGTGGCGTCGGCTTGTTCGTGAAGACCGGACTGATCGCGAAGAGATCGGAGCACCCGTCGAGCTGGGTGTAGGGGGTGCACTCGCCAGCCCTGGTTCAGCATTGTAGGTGAAGATAGGGAAATTTTTGACGTGGGCGGGAGGGACCACCACCCGCTTGATTCCGCTTGCCTCCAAATCGACCTCGCCTGACATCACCCGACGTCGAAGTGCTGTTCTCCGACGGCGTTGGATGAACCGCATGGAAAGAGATACAATGAGGATAATAACCAGGAGCGCACCAATGACAATGATGAAGAACACCCAGAGCGCGAGCATGTCCGAAGGGCTGGTCATTTGCAATTCCGTCGCTACCCGAATGTAGTCCTGCGAATTCGTCTTCATTGTATAATGAATGGCTTTGCTATTGGGGACTTCCGTCGCGTTACCAGAGTACTGGCTAATCTGGGACATCATGCGTTGTCCGTCAAAGCCGGGCACGGCAAAGACTGGGAATTGGTTTGAACTTTTCCATGATCCATTGTCGTCAAGATTCCATACCGGTGAGTCCACATCTTGAGGCTTGTTGGTCGAGTTATTAGGTTTGTAGAAGATGAATGCACGAATTGGGTCGAGACGTGCGGCATTGAGATATGCCAATGTGCACTCCATGCTGAACCATGGAGCCAGGGCAATCAAATCGTAGTTTATGGGAGGAAGATCGCGCCGTCGAGTAACATTGGTGGGTATAAAGTCGTATTGTATATGGTCGCAATTCGTGATACCTTTGATATCGGGTACGTAAAGTAGGCCCTTTATAACACCATTCAAGGTCCTAGCATTGGTCGTCGTCAACGTCGTGAGGTTAGTGCCTATCCGCTCTCCGTAGGCGATGTCATCCTGTGAAAAAGAAGGCCATGTTAGCTGTTCTGGGCCAAATTTCACAGAGATTATCGATGTCACCCACCGAAAAACCAGTCACGTTGCTGATAAACGTCGACGGAACCGTGCTTTCACCACTCCACGATGGGTTTTTGAAGAGGAGCCTATATTGATGTCAGACGATGATCCCCAGCATTAAATTTAGGATGGTAAGGGGTTTGATGCGCATAAAAGGTGTAAATGACGAGACGAAAGCATGATGGGACCAATGGTCGGGAGCTAATCGACGGGCGCGGATGAGGTAGCGGAACACGAGCAAACGTACACATAATTTCGAATCTCGGAGAGTGCTGCAAGATGTCAGTATAGAATCCCACTGAAGCCTCAGAGGAGTCGTTGGAACGACGTCACATTTCGGCCAATAGCCATCAACTAATCCAAGCTTGAGGTCGATTGAGGGGATGGGACAAGTCTGCGCGAACTTACACATGCTTCTGAAACATAGTAAATCAGCTTGCGGTAGTCATGGTATAACGGGCGCCTTTAGCCCAACAAGAACAAAGCCAGTATATGTGCAATTATTGATTCACGATCGGTTTGTAGGTAAAGCGCGTCCGGATAAGGTGGTATCGTATATCGACGACTGGATTATCAAGTTGACACAACGACCAGCTAAATGACCATCTACCACACCGTCTGTGCGAATTCGAATGGGCAAGTTACTCGGAAACGAATGGGAATTCGAAGGTTGGTAGGGCGGCCGAGGGTGCGATGCGATGCGGAAGCAGCAGTCGAGAGTAGCAGGGGACGAGGCCACCAAAGAGAGAGCGACGGCCGGTCGGTAATGAGCTGGTAATCTCAAGACGTGTTCAGGCTGTGCCAGCAGCAGCACACGGCTGCTGTGAGGCGGAAGAACCGATGAAAGGTGGTATGCAGATGAGAGACGGGTCCCCGATAGAACGGCGCTGAAGAGGAGATGCGAGTTCGGTTCGAGGGCAGCTCGTTGTCGGGTAAAGACGCTCGCTGGAGTGGCAGAGACGAAACAGGCCGGTCAGGTAACTATCGAATTGGCTGGAAGGGCTGGAACGAGCCGGAGGTCCTGATGCGCTGGGAGGGGCGTTGGTCTGCAACAGAATCTGTAGCCGCCCTGTGGTCAGGCGCAGTGGCAGATGGATGGATGGATGGATGGCAGTAGGCGATAGGCTGTCGGCAGAGAATAGCAGCCCGGCGGTGCACAGATGGTCACTGGATTGCACATAAGCACCCAGAGAGCAGGGACTGGAGGTCAGTGCTTGGGCAACTGGAAGTTGAGGCAGGCAGGCAATTGGGAGGGAAAGGCCTGGGCTGATCCTTCCGGGGGTTCGGCGAGGGCGGCAACTGTGGGACAGAGTGCTTGCTAATAGTACGCCAGTTGGGCCAGTAGAGGCCATTTAGGGGCCAGTTAGGAGACCGAGCAGGTGGGCTGAATTGATTGAAAAAAGGCCCTGACGCAGCCAAAGGGTGGAGTTTCAACGCTACCAACACAAGCACTGCTGTCGCCCTCTGACCAATACCGGCACTGGCGGCGTTGAGCATACGTACGTGAGCACCCATCAACTCCGTCGTCACGATAAATTAATCATTGTCCCGGGGGTTTTGGTGTTCGCGCGACTGACCGACACGCTGTCGACCGGCTGGCCACGGCCTCGTACTGAACAAATTGCAACCCTATGCAGTCCTGCGCTAGCCATCTGCCACACGCCTGGCGTACCCCAGTTCAGTCATTCTGCATCTCCAAGATCTAGCTCTCTGGCTCTCGCTGAGACTAAGATGTCTTGTCCGGACCATACGAGGAGACACCTCGAGGTCTAGCCGCTATTCCTCGTTCTGGAAATGAATCTGGCCAACCCCACCCGGCCTTATCTTCGTGACAGCAAGTACCTATTCCCGGGCTGGGCACCCGCAATGAGGGCAGCACTCAACCAGCAGCAGTGGCGCAGGTGGCGCGAGGCGTCACCACCGCTACCGCATCCACACACACGACCATGTCGCGGTCCATCTCCACTGCACCACCCACACAATGATTCCATACGTACGACGTAGTGTCTCCATGCGATGACAACAGGGAATGGATCCGACGGCCCCACCCTCTCATTCCATCCCTTTCAGCTCTGTGCTTGATCAGCCCGTACACTTGCCTGAGTTGTTGGCGAGGATCCTGGAGTTCTCCATCCTTGAGACAATACGAATTGCCTGGACCGACAATCTCGCTCTAAAAGCTCAGGAGTCTGCATGTCTGTGCAAAAACCCTCCTTGATGCCCCTCTTCATCTTCCCTCGAAGGGTTAAAAATCATCGTCCGCGTAGGCTGCGGTGGCAGATCCCTTCCACTAGACGGCATGGGCTCATTCAATCCCAAGCCCGATAGGTACCTAAGCAAGCTAAGGTATTCTCAAGGGACTTTTTTCGTCAGCGTCTCCGCCAAACTCCAACTGCTGCACCACCTTACGTCAATTGGTGTCTTCAAACATCCTACCCTATTGCCTACTAAACTAACTAGCTGTCGGGTCCTACAGTTGAACAAAGTACATCCACCAAAGGGACCTACGATTTTGCTAAGTATGGCCTTACTCTGGGGAAATCAAGCAAGAATCCAAAACTAAAATCCAATTATCGTGTATCCTGCCGTACTTGCTGTCGCCTTCATCTGCCTGATTGCCCTTTCATGAGGAGCGGAGCGGGGTTGTCTTGGATCTCTCCCAGGGGCCTTCCACACCAACATGCTCACGTGTGACAGCGAATCACCAACCAGACCGTCCTCCAAAAAGCTTGTCTCGCCCAAGGTCGCCAGGCACACCTTTGACACAGCCCCTAGGATACCTAGGTACTTGTCTAACCACACACATCAATCTAGCCCCGCCTGGAGAATTCGTTACCGCCCACATCCCTTGCACCAATAAGGGTCCATTTCACAGCCACACGCAAATCATGACGGTTTGACACAGGGCCTCTAATTAGTCTTCTGATTGAGTTTCTCCAACTGCCAAGCGCATGTAAACTCGCCGAAAGAAGGTTGCCGAAATAGACTGAACTATTAATTGGCGTCGAAACGGTAGTGTGTCTCCACACATCTAGCGGCTGGCGACATTCTCGTGTTGTCTCCATTTGCAAAAGTGCAAGAAGACATCACATAAATTGAGCGAGTAGTAAGTCCGAAATCTTGCATATTCACGGCTTGACGGCAGGTCTCCTGACCCTTACGAGGCACTCAAGCACTCTCATTTCAGAGCGTGAAGGCTGGGTGGGCGGATTACAACAATGAATGCAACCTCACCCAATCGCGGAACGCAGCCGAGCCAATCAGTCCACGCGTCGACACGGTCAAAGACGCATGGTTGCGCAAGGAAAAGTCGCCGACGCCAAATCTCTGCTTCAAGCTTTTTTAATTTCATTTTTGCTATACGTGTAAATTGCTGCAAGCCCATGAGGTAAGCCGTGTAACGTAACAAGGGTCCTTAGTGCTACGTAAGGTACCTAAGGCAGGCATTCAACAATCTCCCTGACGATCCCATTGTGCGAGAATATCAAAGCTTTGATATTTTGGGAATCATAGCGACTAAAGAACTAAGTTGTTCAATAACAATGTGCGGCAACATGAGAATACATCCCATACAGAAAGGGGATGGTGCTACATGCAAGGCTCCAAAGCTATGCTACCACCCGAGAAGCTCATGGTAGGTCGAGTAGGACAGTATCATCAGTAGTTACGGTAGCCTCCACCGTAGCTCTCATTGCCTCCATAACCACCGCCGCCTCCATAGCCACCATCACCGCCATAGCCTCCCTCCTGCCTGTAACCTCCTCCGCCATAACCACCGGAGGAACCACCGTAGCCTCCGCGGCGTTCATTATCATCATCATCATCGTTAGATCCGCGGCGGCGTCCATGATGCTTTCTCTTATCAGAGTCATCAGAATCATCACGGCGGTAGCGCTGCTCTCTTTCTTCGTCAGAGTCATTTGACTTGCGTCGTCGATGCTTCTTCTCCTCATCCGAGTCGTTGGAATCGCGTCGGCGGTGCTCGCTAGAGCCGCCGTAGCCACCCCCATAGCCACCTTCGTTGCGGCGCTCATCAGAGCCTCCGTAACCGCCTCCGTAACCACCCTGGCGCTGCTCGCTGCCATAGCCACCACTTTCATGACGGCGCTCCTCGGAGCGACCGTAGCTTTGCTGGGAAGATCCATAGCCTTGGCTGTATGTATCGGCCTCGCCACCACCGTAGCGGCTCTCCTGACGGCGCTCCTCGGAGCCGCCGTAGCCACCTCCGTAACCACCTTCGTTACGGCGCTCATCAGAGCCACCGTAGCCACCTCCGTAACCGCCCTGGCGTTGCTCGCTACCATAGCCACCACTTTCGTGACGGCGTTCCTCGGAGCGACCATAGCTCTGCTGGGAAGATCCATAGCCCTGGCTGTATGAATCGGCCTCACCACCACCACCGTAGCGGCTCTCCTGGCGAGAGTTGTTGTTAAATCCCTGGCTGTAGGATTCGGATTGTCCATACGAGGAAGTGTTATGTCCTCCGTACGAACTCTGCTGGTAGCTGCTGCCCTGGTTTTCATCCTCATCCTCATCATCACGTCGGTTCTTCTTCTTCTTCGTCTCGCCATCATCGCCACCAACACCCAAGGCACTTCCCAGTGCTCCGAGGAAGCCACCGAGGTCGCCGCCGGAGGTGTTCTTACCACCGCCGTTGCCGCCGCCCAGTGCTTCAGCAGCGCCTGAGATGATCGCTCCAGCCGCGGCACTGGCGATCTTATCTTCCATAGTCTCGGGCTCGCCGTACAGCTTCTGCATCTTGAGCTTACCGCTGCAGCCGTGGCCATGGCCAGTGTCGTAGACGCCCTCCTTGTGGTTCTCTCCGTTCTGGACGCCACGTCGGCTCAGCTTGCGGCGGTAGTCCTGGCGCTGGTCTTCGCCCATCTCGCTCCACCATTCCTGGACGGCCTGGAAGATCTGTTGGCGACCCTCTTGAGCTCCGTCGTCGCCCATCTCACGCTGGGCGGGGTGGTGCATAACTCCGTTGACAATGCGGGTGACCAATCGGTTCACATCAACGCTCTCATCGTCGATAGCCTCCATGATCTGGGGCACTACCCAAGTAATCATCTTAGCCGCACTTTGGCCAGCGATTTCATTCAGGATCTATTTGTTCAGCGTTAGCACATGCTTAAAAGGGACAGCGAATGGGAATTAAATGCTCACGTTGGTAAAATGGTCCTTGGACAGCATCGAGTGAGTTGGGTCGCTCGAGTCATCGTTATCGAACACAACGTGCTGTTCAGCCTCACTGCTCTCGATGATCTGGTTGGAGCCAGTTGCCAACTCGTTCTTGATGTTCTGGATGAGGGGAACAACAAATGGGGCAATGAGAGAGAAGACGAAGCGCGAAAGCTCCTCCTCCAACTGCTCAATGATTTTAGGGAGCACGGGGATCTTCTCAATGGCAGCAGTAATGCCCTTCATGATCTCATCGTGAAACTCGATGACGGGCAAAACTTGCCCGTAAACTTGTTGAATGTAACGGGTGAACTCCTCTGGTTCACGGGGAGAAACATTCATGTTCTCCATCTGAGCGTTATTAGCGTTCTCCTGGAGCTGCTCAAGCTTGTCGCTTTCGTGCTTGTCACCAAAGATACCATCGGGAATCTTGTCAAGGAGATCCTTGAGAAGGCTGGTATCGGACTTGGCACTTTCCTGGAGAGTTCCCTCCAGTTCGTCGATTTCATTCTGAGTCAACTTGTCGGATACTAATGTTGTGTCAGAGTTGGCGCACCCAAAAAGCATCATGTATCCTTCACTCACCTTCACCAGTCACACTGTGGAGGAAATCAACACCACCAAATGTACCCCTATAGAAGTCAGAAACCGCGATAATGTGCTGGTTGTAGTTACACTTACGTAACGATTGGGAAGACGGAGCCACGAGCTCCCTGAAGTCTGATCTGGGTGTTGCTACCAACATGGGGAAAGACATCACGCTCGCCGAGTTCAATGAGTGCGAGCTCCACGTAGTTGCTATGGGCGTAGAAGTCTAAGAAATCAAAATTAGAACGGGTCATTAGAGGTCAAAGACAACGATTGGAGGGTCGTTGATGAGCTGTTGATAAACCTACCTTCAAGGCAGTGGAGGGCTGTTCCAAGCAAGCGAAGGGACTCATGCAAATCTCTCTTATTGTTGTTGTCCTTGTAGCGGCGGCCCTTCTCAACGCATCCACTAATCAGTCTTCGGAGAAGGTCTGCAGAAGTCATGATGCCAATGCGTTCATTGGCAATGTAGTTCTTCATGCCAGTTTCCTCGTCGACAGCCAGCTCGGTTTCTTCATCGATAGGGCCTCGGAGTCTTCTATCATAGTTGCGAGCATCTACGCCTTCGCCATAGCCCTTGGGGTTATCGATGTGCTCCTCGGGTCGGTAGCATCCGAGTCTGTCGGCCGTGATCTCGAATTCGCCAGAACCGTAGCCGAAGGTCATAAAGCCAAGAACGCAAAGCAGAAGACGGATGGCCTCGGCGGAAACAGCCTTGACCGTTCCGACATCGATGGCCTGAGAGTAGTCGCGGCACCAGTTACCCAGGTAGGTCTGCTTGATCATGAGCTTGCTGAACTTCTTGCCTCGGTTGTAGGCGTGCGCAGCGGCAAGGCTGAGCAACACATCCTCAATATCACCATGTCGCCCTAAATACTCAATGCGTTAGCTGTATCCATACTGCGGCCATTAGAATCAGTGAGTCGCATACAATTCTTTCCTTCCACCTTGGAGATGGAAGCGATGTTTCCAGCTCCAAACGCCGCCGCCGGGGCGGCCCACCACACCAACGAGAGCAACAGAGCCAAGCGGAGCATAATACCCAGAGTGCTCTAATATTCCAGTCGCTATATTTTCAAGACTGGTCGATGAAGCTTTGATGAGATTTGATTGATCTCTTATTCTGTGAGGAAGAAGGGAATGATGTGAGGAGGATAAGAACCGGGTGAGGGTGGTGGGGTGAAAGCTGAGAGCAGTACGCCGCCTGCGCGCAAAGGAGGGGCAAAGCAAAGCAAGCTTGTATTAATTTAACTAAGAGTGACGTTTTTTCTCCCCGCCGCCCGTCCCTCCTCTCTGTCGTCGGGAGTACCTAAGCTCAACTGCTCCCCAAAAGCACAACGGCCCGTATCTAGCACACAGCTACACAGACTCTGGTGGGTCGCTTCTATAGTCTGCATAATGTACAGTAATAGTTATCGTGCTCAGCGCTGTTTCAAGAGCAACATGCCCGTGATATGCTCAATGCGCGTGGATGACCTACGGATGGATACCTTGCGAAGGCGATCTGCATGGTGCGTCTTGGGAGCGGCTAACAAGGCAACGTAGCGCATCATTCCCTCGCCGCCCGTCTGAATTTGGCGTGAAACGGGAGGGGAACCTAGGCCCCTGGGTCTCCCCTCCCACCTTGCACGGTAAGGGTACTTGAAACAGCTCGCCAAGGTGCTGTCTCACAGGCATGCCTAAATTCCTACCCAGCAGCCAATGAGCTGACTATTCGCGTCCCTCGGGCTTCTTAAGCGCTCGCTAGCTGGAAGGAGGGGCACCTTGCACAGCTGAGGTTCAATGCAGTGCCTGTTTTAGCTTGCACTGCCTCAAAACCATCGCAATCGCGGTCATGGTCCTACCTCAGGGTGGTCTCAATTGTCTGATAAGAAGAACCTGTGAATGCATGTCGTCGGTACTGTTTCACGGTCGGTAAAGGGCAACGGCATAGACGAGCAAGTGGCTGAAATGAAGCACGGCACACCAAAGCCTCCATACAGTCTCAAATTTCGACACAATATCAAAACAATTAGCCCACATGCCAATACAATATCAAGCTAAATAATGTAGAATGATTATTATTTTACTGTTATTGTTTGAAATACTTCTCATAAGAATGAGGTTTCTAACTTGCACGAAAACAACTTTGGTGTGTCATGTTTGATCTCAGACGCTTGATGAGGCAAGCGAGTGGTCTGAGATGTAGTAATACTGGGTACAGAGCTGTATAGTATCAATGATTTCCGTCGAGGATAAACCTTCATCTATACCTTTTCCCAACACCCTTTCCTAAAGAACCGTACCGAAGCTTGAAAAAGGAGTATTAAAAACAGACATAAGTCTATATCTGTAAAATATCACCCTCTGTATATAGCTGAATTATTCCTCATATCGTAGATTGAGTTGATAGTTCAAGGCCTGTAGTTGGGCGGTCTGTGAGCTAGACTGGCCTAATTTTTGTTCCATAGATATAATTGTATCGATTAGTATGGTATTGATTCTGTTCTGCGTGGGCAGTCTGCGCTTCAGTTTATCGATATCGAGTGTATCGATTATGTGCTTTCTTTTGGGGTAATTAACGTCTTTCTCCTTTTCCAGGAGGCGTCCCTCGAAGCATGCTTGGATCGTACTGAGAGACTGTTGGATTTTTTTTAATTTCAGATCGATGTCCCTGTCCATATACTGCAGAGCGGCGATCTGCTGCTGGATCTCGGTTATGGTACCAGTGGGCGTATCGCCTGTCTTTGAAGATTGTTCATTGCTATGATCCGATATACCATTAGGGTCGGTTGATGCTTGAATGGAGGAACCAACTGTACTGTTGTTTCGGCCATGGCCAGCTTCGGCAGTGAGATTCTCAAGCTTAGAGACCTTTTCAGTGATTTTGCTCAATAGACTATGAAGATCTGTTGCAGAATTGGTTTGTTCTATCTTCGTAGATCGGATATCAGTCCGGATATCCGCTCGCTGAACAGCGGCTGAGCGTTTATGGGCTGATAGTTCTTCTGCTAGTCGGGTTATATCACTTTTCATAGCGTTCAATTGATTCTTGACGGCTTGGTGGAACTCGATATCTTCATGTCTGGCCGATTTCTCTTCTTTATCAATGGGTTGAAGAAGATTTGCTGGAAGTTCTGGGGTGGACATCCTAGTAGATGCAGCCGCTTTGCTGTCGTGGCGCTCAAAAACAGGTTCCAATTCCCTCAGCGCATTGTTTAATACAGTCTCTGGAGAATATGCTGTATAGTAGGATGACTCGCGACTCGAGTTATGGTTCGGTGTACTATCCCGCGGGGGTTCTGGTGCTGCATCCAGAGAGTGTAAGGACTCCTCGCTGTTAGAAGGCTGATTGACTGCAGGTGGGTAGTACGAATCTATGCCGAAGCTTGTGGACATATACATGAGATTGTTCGTTTCGTTGCATGTTCGAATCCCAAGCCCACTCTCTCTGTCCTTATCTGCATTTGTCCTGGGTCGGACTGTGCCCCCAGGCATCCCAGGGCAGACTCGACGGTTTTCGGCCCAAAATTGTAGGCGGTCGTTCTCGGGGTACTGCGTTATAAGGAAGTGGCCCAGAGATAACGTCCAGTTCTTGTACTTGAGTTTCGCAGCCCGCCAAAGTTGAGATGGGCATGGGCTTGTGAGTGTCTCGCCAGATTGTCGGTATACTCGAGATACAACGAAATAATGCCGTATTTCCTTGTGGTCGTCCTCTGTTCAAGCATGGCCTTCACGAAGATATACTAGGTATATCTTCTATGCTGTTGATCGATCATGCTCATCATCATTTGCGTTATCGACCTCTGCCCATTGGACCCAGGGCAGATCTGTATCCGCAGGAGGGCCCGAGGACCCGATTGCTGGTAGCTGATCCATGAGAGCGTTCTTGTCGAGTAATAATAATAATAGAAGAATAATAATACAGAGGACAGTTAGAAATTGTATCAAATGCGGCGTTGTGTGATATCGAGTTTGCTGGTAACGTATACGATATGCGAGAGAGAGATATCGAACTGGAAGTTACTAGTAAATGTGCTGTGTTGAGCAGGTGTAACTTTTTTATTCTTCTTCAGAATCAGGCGTAATTTCCTGCAAGCTAGGGAGCTTGGAGAAATGGGATCATAATGGAAAATTCGGTTATTTCTGCAAGAAATAGAGAATCTCAGTAGTATTAAAATAGAAGAACGGGACAATAAATACAGTATTATGTATTATTGGGACTCAATAATCCGGGAATACCGATCGCAGACTTGAGAATAAGCAGCGTAATAATCAATTTCAATGTCACCTACTTGGGTACCTACATAGGTGAGCAGTAGGTGAACAGTATGAATTTACACTACCCTATAGCATGGAAGTGCGAATTAGTCGCCTCGACCCAGCAGTTGGGCTTGCATTTCACGCTTGAGAGATTCGACCCCTAAATGTTGTTTGATGCAGTGGAAGAGACACTGTTGCGAAGTTTTGACATAAAAATCTCAACATGCCAAGCTAATCTTTCTCGATATGAGCAGAATAATCCGCGATCAGTAACGTAAATAATAAGGCGAGCTGGGTTGGGTGCGCACACACGCGCTGGTGGGGTCACAGGAGGGGTTGGGTCCTCGAGGGTCACAAGGTGCAGCTCGTAGGTGCCTTAGCCTAAAAACTGCCACCCGTGATGAGATCTACACTCACGGCTAGCCATCAGAACATGGTGATGCGAGAACAGCGACTGATTTCACGATTGATGCTGCTTTCGCTTTGATAAGAATGTCACGTATGAAAATAATGGTAGCCTGGTGGACTGCACACTTGCGAATGAGTCACAGGAAGGAGCTGCGCTCGAATGTGTGGCTGCAGATTAGGATGCGACCAGTGTACGACACGCGCTGTGTACCTACGCTGAACAAGAAGTGCAAGGCTGGGCGAGGCAACTGTTTTCGTGGTTACCTACAGTAGACCCTGCCCAGGCAGGTACGAGGGGATGAATTGGAAAGCGCTGTAATGGAACAGACCACTGCGCTTGGGGCAGTCCAGTGGTTCTAGGGGCGACTGAATTATAGCATATAACCACTGAAGCCTGCCAGCTGCGTGGTACGCGATGCCAACAACAGGCCCTCGAAATCGGGCAGTGCTGGAGGGAGCAATGTGGGCGTCGCGTGGTTTGTGGTGGGCGGCAGAGCACTCACTGGGTGATGGCCAAATATGTACCTTTGTAGCAGCCAGCAAATCACGGGGCAGAATTTTAGTGATCTGGCCGAATTTTTTTTTTTGGGGAGGGGCCAACAGGGCACTGCAGCTGCCGCTCCTGCACCCACACTGCGTGATGGTGGGCTGCCTTGTTAGGTCACTGATTGCGGCGCGTCCTAGGCGAAGCCGCCGACGCTATAACCCGCCCAGCCCCCGCGACTTCCTCACCCCGAAACTTCAGCACTTCCTCCCCCAAAACCACCATCATCACTGCTCGTAGTCACCTATTCTCAGGGCACCAAACACTGCGCACTGGAACCCAGCTACTAGCACAGAAGATTTCTAGCACTCTCACGCAAAGCTCAAGCCAAGCAGCCTAGCACCTTGCGCTTTACTGCCAATTAGCAGCCGCAAGATTCCAAAACGCTCACTGCGACGCGCCCATCACCACTGACCACTCAGTTCATTAATCGGCTGGCTTTCGTGGAACGCGTTACCACCTGCAGCTCGCCACCTAAGACCACCGTTCATCTCAGCAGAGACCACTCTAGCTAGCCAGCGCCTACGGCCAGCCCAACACCATATATGATGCCTCGTCCATCCAAGAAGCAGCAGGCTGAGAATAGAGCTCCAGTCCCTGTTCCCGCGCAGCCTCAACAGCACATGATCCCCCAGGTCCCCCAGCCCCAGGGCATTCCTCTGCAGATGCAGCAGCCACTGCCTCACCAGGGACAGCTTGCTGTTGGTGCGCCGCCTCCTCAGGTGCACGGTCGTGTCGTCGACAATGAGAGCTTCCTGCGAGTTCGCGACTCTGTAAGTAACCATATTTCATTTTCAATCACATTTCCTCGCCCAATCATTGCGACCACTGCACCCCGCCGCTTATGCAAGACCGCACTCTGGGCCTACGTGAGCTTCACCGGCTTGTCAATAAGTGTCGGGTGCGATCTGTGATCTGTGAGCTCTCCTGCGAGCACACGCGCTGGGGCTACTCGAGTGAGTACCTGAGAGTTCGAAGGCCACAGCTCGAGTCCAAGCTAAGATGCGCGCGCGTGCTATGCGTTCTCGAGTCCTGTTGCACCATTTCCGTGCTGAGGCAGTTTGGGACCTTTTCCCATTTCTGTTTGGTGCACAACTTGGAAACGCGCTTTGCAGGCCGCTGCCTTCTTTGTTTATCTTTTGCTTCCGCGTGTTGCTCTTCTTGGAGCTCGTGTGGGTAGCCTGAGTCCGGCCCCACCCACGGCGCCTACCGTCCACCTCCCTCACCACACCCCTGCCACTGGCCTTCAGTAGCCTCCTGCACGTCTCTTAGTCGTCTCGACCATTAATGTCACATATCCCTGTATAATCATCATCGAGACTAACAATTTCACAGGCCGTTGGTCGTCTGACTACTATCTTGGAGCTGCTGCGCTCGTTCACCTCAGACTACATTCGCCAGACCAACTTGCTCCTTGGCGAGCCCACTGCTGAGGGCGCCCAGGGCGATATCCTGGCTACTTTTGAGAATGCCACCTCCCAGCTCATCCCTCTCGTTCAGGGCGAGCTCGGCGCACCCATTGAGGAGAAGAAGGAGCGCAAGAAGCGAACTCATGACCCCAATGCCCCCAAGCGCCCCCTGACTCCTTACTTCCTCTACATGCAACATGCCCGCTCCATCATTGCCAACGATCTCGGCCCTGAGGCACCAAAGGGAGCTGTCCAGGAAGAAGGTCAGCGACGATGGGCCCAGATGGGTCCCCAGGAGAAGCAGGGATGGAACAACGCCTACCAGTACAACCTTCGCCTCTACAATGCCAGAGTCCACTCCTACAAGCATGGCAACCCTCTGGCCAAGGGTATGGATGATACCGAGGCCTTGAAGTACGCTGATGAGAACCACATCCCTCTCCCTGAGCTCAAGGAGGCTCAGGCTCAGCCCGATGCTGGTCCCAATGACCAGGACGCCATTGCCGAGCAGCTCCAGCAGGTCGCCGCCGCCCCTGCTGTCGAGGAAGAGCTTGATTCCAAGACCCCCAAGAAGGGCGGTGCTCGTAAGCGCAAGACTGGCGAGCCCATTCTTGCTCCCGATGCCACCCCCATCGCTACTCCTGCCAGCCCCGACAAGAAGCGCAGAAGAACTTCTGGCAAGGTCGCCGAAATCCAAGAAGAACCCAAGAAGTCAGGACGCAAGAAGACTAAGAGCTCTTAGCTGTCTTCTGGGACCTTCTTTTTCTGTTTTTGGCTCACCGCCGGCTTTTCCCGCATGGCGGGTTGAAGTCCTTCCTTTATTGTTTCCTTTGACTTCTCATTGATGCCCTCGGTTATTGATTGCACGAAAGGATACCACTTCAGCTCCTGAGCTTTGTTTTATAAAAAATAACCGTGCGCCACTTCGCTGGGGTGTCGACGGAATAACTTTTCAGTATCTGTATGAGAGGAACAGACGAGTGGGAGGGTGTTATCACCCATGAACCGGTAGTTGGAATGGTGCAAACGGATCTTTTCTTGCGGTGGCTTTGTCGGTTTTTTGCGTTTATGACTGTACTAGGTTGTCATTGAACAACTTTCTTTTCACTTATTTACGAGGGCGATGATGTTTCAATTCAAAGTTGCTATTCAAAGTTACTTTGCTTGGCCTATGTGACATGTCCATTCTTGTACCTTGATCGGAGCACCAGAGATCGCGCCATTTCCTAGATGGCTAATATCATAACACTACAATAGCAGCACATTGCCCCTCCCGGTCTCGTCCGGCCAACGTTAGTAGACGAACCAAGGCTGGGAGAGTGGGAGCGTCTCCGCGGGCGCCGCCTCGCACACCACGCCGTCCGCCTCGACCGTGTAGCTCTCCGGGTCGACCCTCATGCGCGGCATGGTGTCGTTGTACTTCATGTCCGCCTTGCCGATGCCGCGGCAGCCCCTCACGGCCTCGACGCGCTTGCGCAGGCCGTACGACGCGATGGCGCCCGAGTCGATGGACGACGCGGACACGAAGAGCACGCTCGTCTGGGGCACGAAGGGCGCGAACATGGGCCGCGCGATGATGGGCTCGATTGTTGGGATGGAGGCGTTGGGGTCGCCCTACAGTTTGTTATCCTGTTAGCAAACGTTGTTGAGTGGGAAGGGATGGGGACTACTGTACCATTTGGGCGGACGCGATGAGCCCGCTCTTGATGACGAGCGAGGGCTTGGTCCCGAACCAGGCGGGATCCCACACGACGAGATCCGCGAGCTTGCCGACCTCGATGCTGCCGACGAGGTGGCCGAACCCTTGCGCGAGGGCGGGGTTGATGGTGTACTTGCTCACGTACCTTTTGACTCTAAAGTTGTCCGCGCCGGTG